AGCTCCAATTCAGTCCCAGGGGATCTCTTCTAGCTTCACATGGTGCACACACACACATGCAGATATCATATAAAAAAATAAACCAATCTTTTGTATTATTATTTCATTCTGTTTGTATGAATTATTATTATTTTATTCTGTATGTATGAATGTATGTATTATTATTATTTTATTCTGTATGTATGTATATATTATTATTATTTTATTCCGTGTGTATATATAAGTGAATGTATGTGTTATTATTTTATTCTGTATGTATGTATGAATGTATGTATGTATTACTATTTTATTCTGTATGTATGAGTGTTTTGCCTGCATCTATGTATGTGCACCATATGCGCACTTGGTGCCCTTGGAGGCCAGAACAGGATGCTGGATCTGCTCAGACTGGAATTACGGTTGTGAGCTCCCATGCAGGTGCTGGGAATCAAACCTGAGTTCTCTGGAAGAGCAGGCAGTGCTTGACTACTGATCCATCTTTCTACCCCCAAACAGATATGTTTATTAAAAAGAAAAAAAAAACTCTCAGCAGGTAAGGGCGCCTGGTACCAACCTGGCAACCTAAGTTTGCTACCTGGATCCCACTTAGGAGAAGAAGAGAATACTCTTAGAAGTTGTCTGTAAGTGGACTTTCCTGTCCTGCCTGCCAGCTCCCAAATGACCATAAGAGACTTTTTATAAATTACAAATGCCGGCCAATAGCTTAGGTTTGTTCCTAACTGGCTGTTACAACTTAAATCAGCCCATAATTTTTATCTATGGCTCAGTACCTTTCGTCTGCATGGTAAATTTATCTTGCTTCTCTCTCTGTCTCCCCACAACTCCTCCCTCCCTCATCCCACAGAGCTCTCTCCCTGTCTGCAAGTCCTGCCTAACCCCTTTCTGTCCAGCTATCTGCCATTTAGCTCTTTATTAAACAGATGAGAGAAACACATCTTCACAGTGCACAAAATGATTATTCCTCAAGAGTTGTCCTTTGACCCCTGAGCACCCCATACATACACATTACAGTCTTTCAGCTTAACCAGGACTATTTATGTGATCAGTGGGTTGGTTGTAACTGCTCTTCCTCTGGGCCTAGTGTTTGTTTTGTTTTATATGTTGCTCAGGTTAGCCTCAAACTTGCTATGTAGCCAAGGATGTCTCCTGAGTCTCCTGTGTCCACCTCCTAAGTGCATGTACCGCCACACCCAAATTATGTAACGCTGAGGATTAACTCCTGGCTTTGTGCCTGCTAAGCAAGCACCGCATGTCCCAAATGGGCTACATCCCCAGCCCGGTACTCCTGCTGTCTGGGGCAAATGATCCCCAGTTCTCCTGTCGTCAGCATCTCACGGCTTTTCCCTGCCTGTGTTTACACTCTATCTTCTGTCTTCCCTGCCGCTGAGATGGAAGTGCTTCCCTTCATTTGTTGGTTTGGTTTCTGAGACGGGGTTTCCTGTCTGTCCTGGAACTCACTATGTAGACCAGGCTGGCCCAACTCACAGAGACCTCCCAAATGCTGGCACTGAAGGCACGCACCACCTTACCCAGCCCTGCTTTCCTTTCCTTGCTTCTGGTCCCTCCCAGCCCGGCCCAGCTTCTCTGCCCTTAGCATTTAGTCATTGCTGTTCTGTGTATTTCCCGGCTGATTTCTTTGTTTATCTTTTATAGACCATAAATTCCATGGAGGCCAGGTTTATGGTTATTACTTGATTTTATGTGTATGAGTTGGTCCGCTCATATGTCTTTATATCACCTGTGTGCAGTGCCTGCAGAGGTCAGAAGAGGGGTCAGCTCCCCTGGAACTGGAGTTATAACAGATGGTTATGAGCCACCATATGGGTGCTGGGAGCCTCACTGGGGTCCTCTGGAAGGGGAAGGAGTAAGTGCTTTTAACCTCCAAGCCATCTCTCCAGCTCTGAGGCAGATTTTTTGTTTGTTTTGTTTTTCTACTTACTAGCAAAGTCCAGGGTACTATGGGAACTTTGTGAATGACGGTTAGGTGAATGAACCAGGGAATGAATGGGAAGAGAGAAACTGCCCATTCAGAAAGAAGGAAGAATTCTTACATAAGAGGGCCAGATGTATGAGGTCCTAGCTTTGGAGCCTGTCCTGAAACTCACTCTGTAGACCAGGCTGGCCTCGACCTCACAGAGATCTGTCTGCCTCTGCCATCTGAGTGCTAGGATTAAAGGCGTGCATTGCTACAGCCCAGCAAGGTTCAAATATCTTATACAGGTAAGAATAAGAATGTCCTATAAGAGGCTAGCCTGGTCTAAAAATCGAATTCCAGTTCACTAGGAGCTACACAAGAGAAACCCTGTCTTGAAAAACTAACCAAACAAACAAACACGCCCCCCAAAAAATAGTCTCATGTATGAGGCAGAAGGTGTCTTCCTGCTCGGCCTGTGTCATGCTTTCCCCGCCCCCCCACCCCCCCCCACCCCCGGTCTTCTGTCCCTGTCTGGCATACCACAATCCCTCTTCCTGTGCATCCACTATATTCTGCTTCCTGTCACAGAGGTCAGACCTGCTTGGCTAGCTGGGCTACTTGTCTGCTACACAGGGAAATCACATGAGCTTCCTGCCCTGTCCTGCTGCCCAAGGGAACTCAGGCCCGATAACCTCTAGCACAGGCAAACTGCTGAGTGCCTGAAATGGCTGTCTCCTAGCTCTGCCCAGAAACTTCTGGGGATGATTTAGCCCCAAGAGTCTCCACAGGTCTGAGAGGAACTTGCGAAACTAGACAGTCTCCCAGTTCCACCGCTCTCCAGCACAAGAGAGAATGAGCTAAGCTTCTTAGTGTCTCTGAGTATCTGTTTTCTCATCAATAAAATGGCAGTCTGTCCTTGGATAGAGAAGGCAGTCATGTGGCAAAGGGCAGAGGTGAGAACGGGGCCACCCTGCATGGATTTACTTATGTATGTGGTACTGGAGGTTGAGCCCTGTCATACGCTAGGAAAGTCATCTCCCACCAAACTACACACACCCTATCTTTTTATTCTTTTTTACTGTCTTTTTTCGTTTTTTGGTAGCGAGACAGGTTTTATACAGCGAACACTGGCCTCAAGATCATGGAGAGCTATGGATGAGCTAGAACTGACCCTTCCGCTTGTGCTGCCTGAGAGTTCAAACTACAGGTGTGTGACACCACACCCAGCTTATTATATTTTTATTAGCTTTGTTTTTATTACATTTTTCTATTTGTGTTTGCGTATATACATGCATGGCTATGATGGGCCTGGGTGGGTGGCCATGGAGTGGGTTTTCTCCTCCCACCGTGAGTCGGCCTGGCCAGCAAGCACCTACCCTGCTGAGCCATCTCCCTGGTCCTACATTTTTATCTTTGCTATGTCTTTATGTTTTTTTATTTATAAAACTTATTACATTTATTTATTTAGTGTGTGTCTCATGTGGAGGTCGGAGGATAACTTGTGGGAGTTAGTTCTCTCTCTCTCCTTCTACCATGTGGGTCCCAAGAACCAAAAAGCTTGTCCACCTTGGTGACAAATACCCTTTATTTGCTAAGCTATTTTTTAAAATATTTATTTATTTATTTATTATGTATACAGTGTTCTCTCTGCCTGTATGTCTGCAGGCCAGAAGAGGGCACCATATCTCATTACAGGTGGTTGTGAGCCATCATGTGTTCACTGGGAATTGAACTCAGGACCTCTGGAAGATCAGTCAGTGCTTTGAAGCTCTGAGCCATCTCTCCAGTCCCCTTTAAATAGTTTTTATTTGTATTTTATGTACGATGGTGTTCTGCCATACATGCAGTATGTTTGTGTGAGGATGTCAGATCTCTTGGAACAGGAATTATAGACAGTTGTGAGCTCTCATGTGGGTGCTGGGACTTGAACCTGGGTCCTCTAGAAGAACAACCCTTCTTAACCACTGAGCCATCTCTCCAGTCCTGCTAAGGTTTTTTTTGTTGTTGTTTTGTTTTTGTTTTTTTGCTAGGGTAGGGGTATTCGAGACAGGGTTTCTCTATGAAACAGCCCTGCTATCCTTGAACTCACTGTGTAGACTAGGCTGGCCTCAAATTCACAGAGAACCACCTGCTTCTGCCTCCCAAGTGCTGGGATTAAAGGTGTGCACCACCACCATCTGTCATGAAGCTATTTCTTAGGTTGCTCATTCATTCATTCATTCATTCATTCTCTCTGTTTTTTTGAGACAGGGTTTCTTTGTGGGACAGTCCTGACTGCCCTGGAACTCACTCTGTAGACCAGGTTGGCCTCGAACTCACAGTGATTCACTTGCTTCTGCTTCCCGAGTCCTGGGATTGAAGGCGTGCGCTGCCATGGCCTGGTCTAGTTTTTTAGGATCTTGATGATTACAGACTGGCATTGACCTCTCTTTTTCTCTGAGGATGACTTTGAACTCTGACCCTCTAGGCCCCACTTCCTGAGTGCTGGCATTACTAGCATGTACTCTCACACTACAGCTGGTTTATGCTACACTAGGAACTGAACCCAGGCCTTCATGTATGCTGGTCAAGCACTCCATCAATTCAGCTATATCTACAACCCTTGTTATTTTTAGGCTCTAAAATTTAAAATTCATTTATCTTTCTTGGGTATCAACGTTTTGCCTGTCTATATGTCTGTGCACCATGGACATGCCTGGCACCTTTGGAGGTCAGAAGTGGGCAGTTCTGGAACTGGAGTTATGGATGGTTGTGAGCCATTCTATGTGTGCAGGGAGCCACACCCAGGTCCTCTGGAAGAGCAGCTAAGCGCCCTTAGTGGAGGAGCCATCTCTGCAGTCCCCACTCCCAGCTTTATTGTCATTATTGCCTTTGTGGTACCGGGAATGGATCCAGACTCTTGCACATGCTAGGCCAGTGCTGTGCCACTGAGTCTCACCCCATTCCCTGTTAGCTGGGCAACCGTGGGCAAACTGCTGAACTTCCGTGCCTTAGTTTCCTCGCCTATGAAACAGGCCTGATAACAGCACCTGGCTCATGAGATTGGCATGAGGATTAAAACTGTGCCTGGCCCGCAGTCTGACTACAACAGGGCAATCTGTGATCCTCCTGTGTACAGCAAGTGGAAGGTGATTTTTTGTTTTTCTGAGCTCTGTCCTGGGAGGCCACACACAGAGTGATTTTTCTGGTCATACAGGCCTGTGTTTCCACTGGGTCAAATGCCAAGCACATGGATGGATTCACTCCGTTGCTGGAAATGCCCGAAGCTGTACAGGAAGGGTTTTCCAGGCCAGTGGAAGAAGGCAGGCAAGTTACTGTACTTTGGGTAGGGAGGGGCTAAGAGAAGACAACCAGACTGAAGGGGAAGTGGAGTTTGGGGATGTGGACAAGCTAGAGTTAATACAAAGAGCATGCCTGAGGACAGGGGAAGCTGGCAGCAGGCCATGCAGGACTCCTCCTGGCCAGTCACAGAGGCCTGTTAGGGCAGCATGTGTCCCAGCTTCTCCCAGCTCTGTCCTGGACAGCTGAAGGAGTTAAAACCCTGATTCTACATCTCAGCCAGCCTCAGTTAGGTGAGACTCACACCTTCCACTGCTGTGGGTGTGGTTCTAATGGAGCCAACGTGGCTCTCTGGCAGCTCTGTACTATGGGGCTCCAGATTCTTGTACTGCCGAGAATGTTTGAGTGTGTTGTTTTGCTCTGTAGCCCAGGCCAGCCTCAGACTCCGTTTCTTTCTGTCTCGGCCCCCTGAGTGTTGAGGTTACACCACACCCAGCTTAGTTCTTGTTTTCTCTAGGACAGCCGGCTGTGCTCCACCTGTGCCGCGCAACCCCCAAGCAACTCTAGCAGACCTGGCGAGACCTCTGCCCAGGAAACTGACAATCCTAGCGGACATTCTCCTCATCCTCCAGAAAGCTACTGACCTCTGCTTCCTGATTGTATCAGACTCCAGGCAATTCATTACCCACCTTATTAAACAAGGTCTCTCTTGCTATTTCTGCCATGGTGAGTATTGTGATTAGCTGGCCCACAAGCTTAGAGACTATTTTCCCATCTCTGCCTCCCAGCTCACTGTAGGTGGGCTGGGATTTCAGGCGGATGCTGCTGCATCCCCCACCCCCAGTTTAGCTAAACAGTATCCTGTTTCTGCAGGGCCTATGACTTCCCCTGCTGTGGGGTTTTGGTCATATTTACATGACAGGCATAGACTGTCTCCTGTAGAGTGAACTTCAAATCCAATCAGAGTGTGACTGGATGGGCTACCCTGTACCAGTAAAGCCACTATTATACAACTGCACACACCCTGCATGGCTGATTGGTCTTGGAGTTCACAAGGTTTACGCCCAAGCAATGTGCAGCACGTTCTGAGACCGAGAGCTGACCAGCGCAGAAGAAACTTCCAGCTCAGATGCAGCTCGATCTCTCCACGTCATGCAACCAAGGGACTCAGTATCTGTAGCAGTACAGTCTTACCTAGTCCTGGTGGGCAGTTTTTGTGGTGCTTAGATTTTTGTCAAGGGTCATTTGGGAAGAGAGAGCCTCAGTTGAGAAAATGACTCCAAAGTCAACCAGAAGCTCAGCCAGTGAAGGAGCCTACAGCCAAGTCTGAAGACCTGAGCCAGATCCTATGACTCGGGCGACAGGAGACAGCTGACATCTATCGGTTGTCTGTCATTCTCTGTCACACACACACACGATAACATAACGTGGAAAAATGCCTCCATCTGAGCTGTGGAGCATTTTCTCTCTCTTTTGCCTTTTATTTTATTAAACAGGGTCTCACCATATGACTGTCCTGGATACAAACCTGTATTCTGTCCTGTGTGTAGCTGAAGAAAGAAGGCCGAGTCGCCAGGTGGTGGTGGCACATGCTTTTAATCCCAGCACTTGGAAGGCAGAGGCAGGTGGATCTCTGTAAGTTCGAGGCCAGCCTGGTCTACAAGAGCTAGTTCCAGGACAGGCTCCACAGCTACAGGGAAACCCTGCCTCGAAAAACCAAACAACAAAATCATAAAGTCTGCTGTTGGCTGGAGCATGGTATAAACGTCAGTTGTGCCTACCAGGTTGCTCGTGTTCCAGGGACCTAATAAAGCCTTGCTTAGTTCTATTTGCTTTCTCCATCATTGGGAAAGGACCATGGAGACATTTGACTCTTGTAGATTGGTATGTTTTACCTGAGATTTCAGTCACATTTTGCTTTTGTGGAGTTTGAAGCCGTTTTTCAGTGAATATTTTGGATTGTTGTTTTAGTGATTACATTCTTATTTTTTTAATTTTGTTTTGTTTTTGTTTTTTCCAGACAGGGTTTCTCTATGTAGCCCTGAGTGTCCTGGAACTAACTCTGTAGACCAGACTGACCTTAAACTCACAGAGATCCCCCTGCCTCTGCTTCCACCACCCAGTACATTTTTACCTTTAAAAAATATATACTTTCCCCCACAAAAAAATAGCCGGGCAGTGGTGGCACACACCTTTAATCCCAGCACTTGGGATAAAAAACAAAACAAAACAGGGTTTCTCTGTGTAGCCCTGACTGTCCTGGAAATACTCACTCAAGGCTAGCCTTGAACTCAAGGGATTGCCTGCCTCTGCCTCCCAAATGCTAGGTAACGGTAGCATTTCTTACCTCCCAGTGTTTAGGTAATTCACTAACGTTAGGTTGCTCAGGCAGGCGTTGAACATTTGACTGTCCTGCTTCTGCTTCTAAGGAGAGCTGGAATTACAGGCTGGATGGCTTTCCTGGCACTGTTCTAGAATTACAGGTACGTGTATGTGTGTGTTTGCTCATATGCATGGGTAGAGCGCCCCCTAGCGGACACACTATTAGCAGCTGGTTTAAAAGGCTGTAGAAGTCAGAGAACAACGTAGGGAGTCCATTCTTTTATTGTATGGGTCCTGGGGATTGGGCTCCAGTCATTAGACTGAAATATTGAAATTTATGCCCTGGCAATGCTGAAACATGGGTGGCCCGTATATGGCGGTTCTGCTGAATTTGTCCATATTGGGTTCCATGGTCTAAGTTGATGAGGAAAACTGACCAGGTCTCTTCTCCAAGTCTGCGTAGCAAGTGCTTTAACCCTCCAGCCATCTCGATGGCCCTCACTTATTTCTGAGATAGGCTCTCACTCTATAGTTCCAGGCTGGCCTCAAACTTAGTGATCTTCCTGCCTTAGCCCCAATTTCTGGGATTATAAGAGTTGGCCATGATGCTCTGCTCACTGAATTATTTCAAAAGTTGAAGAGACCTGAGCTGGAGGCCAAACATGGGAGACCTCACCGTATTGGAGCCCAAAAAGTTGAATCCATAGGAGCACTGGAAAAGAGGCCAACATGGATACAGCATTTAAATAAAAAGATGGGCAGAGGAAGATATATATACATATATATATATATATATATATATATATATATATGGGTCATCACAAAAACTTAGGAGATTTTCAAGAATAGGGGAGTTAAAAAAAAAAAAAGAATAGGGGAGTTGCTGGGTGGTGGTGGTGCATGACTTTAATCCCAGCACTCAGGAGGCAGAAGCAGACGGATCTCTCTGTGAATTTGAGACCAGCCTGGTCTACACAGTTCCAGGACAGCCAGGGCTACACAGAGGAACCCTGTCTTGAAAAACAAAAACAAACAAAACAAAAAATTTAAAAGAATAGGGGAGGCTGAGTCTGTAGAATTGGAGGGAGCCAAAAGAAGGCCACAGATAGGCGTATGGGGGGTGAGCTAACTTAGGACTAGTTACAAATTGAATTGGTAAGCAAGAGGCTCTCAACCTGTTGCTGGAGACCCTTATGGGGCGTCACATATCATATATTTACATTACGATTCATAACAGCAAAATTATAGCTATGAAGTAGTATCGAAATAATTTTATGGTTGGGGTTACCACTACATGAGGAACTGTATTAAAGGGCCATAGCATCAGGAAGGTTGAGGACACTGCGATAAGACCAGCGGGTGGTGGAGAAGCTGGCAGAGACCAAAAGCACAGGGACATAGGGGCAGACAGACCCTAAAGACTCCTGGGATTGGCTTTGTTAAGCCTCTGAGTCTGCAGTGAGTCCGCCTTAAAAACGGGAGGTGTACAAACACACACACACACACACACACACACACACACAGATGATAAACTTGGGTGACGAGCGACTTTATGGGTTAATAATTCAGGACACAAGGTAGACACTTTAGGTCTCCATTCTGTTCGCGACTACAGTGATTGCCTGAGCCCTAAGCTGCGACTGAAACAGCGGACTGCTCAGAACCGAGGGTCGTGGCTACTACCCAGGAAGGATCACGCGTGCTGATTGAGCGCTTGGGGTGCTGAAGTCAACTTCTCCGCACAGAACTCTCCACCCCAAGCCTCGGAAGAACTGGAGCTCTGATTCTTGTCAGTCCGGACACACCGGAGCGCGGCTCCCTTTGTGGGCGCGGTAAGCGTTCCCCCAGGCAGGATAGGGACCTTCTACCTACCGTCTGCGCTTTCTCCGTCGTCGGCCGCTGGCTGCGGTGGGACTGAGCCCAAAGCAACCCAGCCTACGGACCCTAGAAACCACTCACCTGCTGTTCTCTTTCTATAGGCCAGAATTTTTTCATTCTTTTTCTCATTGGTCCGCGTTACTTTATCAAAACCTATCAGCGGTAGCCACGGGACCCAACTCCTACCCAAACTGCACTGGGGAGGTGACCTAGGAAGACACGTCTGTTTTCTGCATCCAGTTTTCCCAGGAAGCACTTTACTGCTCACCGTGTCGTACCTGTCCCTGGAGTGAGGCGCTGACACATTTTATTTCTTTTATGCCTGACGTAAAGCCTGGTTCTTGCTTGCTCTCCTCCCCCCTCCAAATGGCTCGGCCCGCAGAATACCCCAGCTTCCAGACACTTTGACAGCTGGCGTCTTGCCGGGCTTTAGGGTGATCCTACTACGGTGACTAACAAGAGTGTCGGGGGCGGGGACAGCCATTTCCCGCAGGGCTTTTGGTCGCGACCACGCGCCCCATCTCTTGCTCGTCCCGGCTGCGTGCGCGCGGGCCCGGAAGCACCGGCGAGATCGCTACGTGCAAAGCGCACTTGGTACAGTCCACTCCGCCGCGCCCCGCGCCGCCGGAAGTGAGGTGTCTTACCCTCGAAGTTCCGGTTCGCAGGGGGTGGGGAGTGTTGTTAACCGGAGCGGCTGCCGCAGTCGCGGTGATTGAGCGGGCTCGCGGCGCTGGGCTCCTGGTGAGTGGGCCGAAGTCTGGTCCAGGCTGTGGTTGGGGTGGGGGGTCGGGGACCAGGACCTTGCCCTTTGGGGTCACTGAGATCAGCCCGTCCCCCAGCGTTCCGCCGCTAGTTTTCGGCCTGTCAGATGGCTGTAGACCTCAGGCGGCGGCGCGGCCACTGTTCCAGAGGCCAGGCTCCGCCTGAGTCGTTTGCAACTCCTAGCGCTCACAGGTGCGCGGCTTCGAGGCGACCGGGTGGTTCTCGGTCCCGCCGCTGCACCCTGCTGGTCGGCCGTTTCTCCGGTGCTCGGAGTGGACACTGCTCGGGGGGCTGGGAGGGGGGTGCCAGGGTTCCAGACTGACGTACCCCGCAGGGCGCGCGTCTACGCTGACCACCCTGACACAGCTGTCACGGACGGTTCCGCCTCCCAGGCTGTGCCTTCTGCGTCTTGCCTTCTCGCAGCCAGGCCCAGCGTTCCCGCCTCTAAAGCCTATCATCCCAGCTCCCACAGAGGGTCATCTGCAGGAGCCCCCCTCCTCCCAACATTGCTGCTTTGCCTCTTTGACTCCCTAGAGGAGGCGGCTTGGCAGACAGCGTGGAAAGAGCCCTAGATTTGAAATGAGACTGACCCAAGTTCCAGGCCTTGCATCAGTGCGAGCCTTTAACCCTTGAGTCCCTGTTTCTTGCTTGTGAAATTGGGAGTATATGCTGTTCTGAATCTAATGGCTGTCAGGCCGAAATGAGAGTTTACCCCTACTTCTGACACTCGGCCAGGGACTGTGCTAGGTTTGCACAGCATGGACATGACAAATATAATTTTCCTTGTGCAGGTCTCTGGGCCAGGGCAATGTTCCGCACCGCAGTGATGATGGCAGCCAGCCTGGCGCTGACTGGGGCAGTGGTGGCTCATGCCTACTACCTCAAACACCAGTTCTACCCCACTGTGGTGTATTTGACCAAGTCCAGCCCCAGCATGGCAGTGAGTTCTGGGCTCAGTGAGGGAGGATTGCCCAGGGTGGGAAGGCAATGTCTGTGTGGGTCAGAGACAGGGCTATATGTCATAGTAGGGGAGACATAGCCATTGGCTGCCTAACTTGGAATAATCTATGACAAGACTTGAGAGCATGTCAGAATGATGAGCCCCAGGCCGAAGAAAGCAGAAAACAACCTCGAACTATGGCTTTCCCCCACTCCTAGGTCCTGTACATCCAGGCCTTTGTCCTTGTCTTCCTCTTGGGCAAAGTGATGGGCAAGGTGTTCTTTGGGCAGCTGAGGGCAGCCGAGATGGAGGTAATATGTTGGTGGCCCCAAAGGACAGGGTCCAGAGCCAGGCAAAGAATGACTGGGTTCCATATCGTCCCATCTCAACCCATAGCACCTTCTGGAGCGGTCCTGGTACGCTGTCACCGAAACCTGTTTGGCCTTCACTGTTTTTCGGGATGACTTCAGTCCTCGTTTCGTGGCGCTCTTTACTCTCCTCCTCTTCCTCAAGTGTTTCCATTGGTTGGCTGAGGACCGTGTGGACTTTGTGAGTTGGGAGTGGCTGATGGCCATGCTGGTGGACTGGGGCATAGGGTGACCCCAAGCATCTTGACGGTGTCCCCTCTCTGCTCTGCTGCAGATGGAGCGCAGCCCCAACATCTCCTGGCTTTTCCACTGCCGCATTGTCTGTAAGTGAGACTCATGAAGAGGAAGGGGCTGCTGGAGGGGCATGGTGCCACTGAGAAGGCCAAACCTGTGAGCCAGCACCCCAGAACCCTGTCGCCCTTTGGGACAGCTGGACAGGAAAGATAATTTAAGAAGTTAATTTGCATAGTCTCTACCCAGTTCCACTCCAGGGCTTCTAAACTGCCTGGGCCCTCATCTCTCTGCCTTCTCCCCTGGGCCTGGGTTGCCCCAACACCCTGCCTGGGCAAAAGTAGCTCCCAGAGTGCTGATTCCACTTGGGGGTACACATCTCAGTAGACGGCTGGGCCTGTGGCCATGGTGGATGTGAGGGTGGGGCTCTCCTAGAGCAGGAAGTGCTAACCTCACTTCCCTCCATTTGGGGGTCTCCACAGCTCTTATGTTCCTCCTGGGTATCCTGGACTTCCTCTTCGTCAGCCACGCTTATCATAGCATCCTCACCCGGGGGGCTTCTGTGCAGCTGGTGTTTGGCTTTGAGGTAAAACTTGTTTGAGAGGTTGGGGGGGGGCAAAGTTGAGGTGGGACCGCATGTACTGTGATCAGCCCTTCAAGGGCTTCCTGAGCACCTGTGGTGTCTCCACCCCCATACTGGCCACCAGGGAGCAGTCATCTTTTTCCTCCTGCCCTCATACACTCCTAAATGATTGCAGAAGGGCACAAAAAAAGGCTGTTATAGAGGATTCCTGATCTGGGCACCTTAGCAAGCCTTCCCGGAGGCTGGTGCCACAGCTGGCTATGGGTAGATAGGAGAAAATTGCTGGGTAAATCCCCCAGGAGATGTGTCCCAGCTCATATTTGCTGGGGACTTACCACGTGCCAGGCCTTGAACTGTATGCATGAGTTCTGTTTCCTAATCAACAGAACTGTGTTGTAGGTGACAGTTGATGCTTTGTTTTACAAATGAGCAAACAGAGGTTGAGCCAGTTGCTTTAGTCATAGGCTGGGAGGACCCCACCTGTGTCCAAAGCCTGTGTTGGCACCACTGGTACCTGCTGTACTGAAGCATGGCTAGAGCAAGGGGATGCTGGAGCTTACATGCGCCTCATGTCCTCCCTCCAGTATGCCATTCTGATGACCATGGTGCTCACCATCTTCATCAAGTATGTGCTGCACTCCGTGGATCTCCAGAGCGAGAACCCCTGGGACAATAAGGCTGTATACATGCTCTACACGGAGCTGTTCACAGGTGACAGGGGCTGGGGCCTCTCCTGATCCACGCCAGCATCCTGCGTGCCTGCAGCTCTGTGGCCAGCCGTGTTCTCCCTTTCCTCCCCAGGCTTCATCAAAGTCCTGCTGTACATGGCCTTCATGACCATCATGATCAAGGTGCACACCTTCCCACTTTTCGCCATTCGGCCCATGTACCTGGCTATGAGGTGGGTCCAGCCTGTCCCGTCCCTGTCCCTGACTGCTCTCCCCACCTGCCTGCCTGCACTCATGGACTTGTCTCTTCAGGCAGTTCAAGAAAGCTGTGACAGACGCCATCATGTCTCGCCGAGCCATCCGCAACATGAACACACTGTAAGTGGGCTCATCCTGACGACTCTCCCAAACTCACCCTGATCACTTTGCTCCAGGTTCTGGTCCTGACATGTGCTCTGACATGTTATCCAGGTACCCAGATGCCACCCCCGAGGAGCTGCAGGCAATGGACAACGTCTGCATCATCTGCCGAGAGGAAATGGTGACAGGCGCTAAGAGACTGCCCTGCAACCACATCTTCCATACAAGGTGGGACAGGGTCTGGGGGACTGCATATGCACAGGCTCATGGGGACCTGCTCATCACTGCCTGATCTTGCTCCCAGCTGCCTGCGCTCCTGGTTCCAGCGGCAGCAGACCTGCCCGACCTGCCGTATGGATGTCCTGCGGGCATCTTTGCCAGCCCAGTCCCCGCCACCCCCCTGAGCCTGCTGACCAAGGAGCACCCCCTGCTCCTCATCCTCCACCACTGCTGCCACAGCCTCCCAACTGTAAGTAGTTCATTTGCCCTCAGATGATCTTCCCTGCCTTCAGGGCTGGGTATTGACAAAGCTGGGGAATCCCAAATGTCTGCCCTCCAGAAGCTCATTCTGGGCAGGAAGGGGTGAGAAGATGAGAAATAGATAAATGGCCAGTGGTAAGCTGGGGGCCTGTAGACGTGGAGGTCAGCTCCTAGCCGCACATCATGCTTGGGAGTAGGAACTCCCGCTCACTCCTCTTCTCACTGCCGTTTTCTCCGCAGTCCCCCAGGGCCTCCTGCCTCCTTTCCCTCCAGGCATGTTCCCACTGTGGCCCCCAATGGGTCCCTTTCCACCAGTCCCACCTCCCCCAAGCTCAGGAGAGGCTGCAGCTCCTCCGTCTACCAGTGCAGGTGAGCCTTTTGCTTGCTAAGGCAGCTGGGAGTGGCAGAGCCACATCTGGAGACCTGGAGACTGATTTTTGTTTTGTGCTTTGTCAGCTGTTTCTCGGCCCAGTGGAACAGCCACCACCACAGCTGCTGGTACCAGTACCTCTGCCCCAGCATCTGGTTCTGCCCCTGGCCCAGAGGCTGCCCCTGCCCCTGGCTTCCCCTTCCCTCCTCCTTGGATGGGTATGCCCCTGCCCCCACCTTTTGGTAAGTTGGCTACTCTCTGGGATGTTCAGGGTAATGAGGTCAGGCCCAGGTAGCTCAGACTAACTAACCTCTGCCTCCTGTCAGCCTTCCCCCCAATGCCTGTGCCCCCTGCGGGCTTTGCCGGCCTGACCCCAGAGGAGCTGCGGGCGCTGGAGGGCCATGAACGGCAGCACCTGGAGGCCCGGCTGCAGAGTCTGCGCAACATACACACGCTACTGGATGCTGCCATGCTGCAAATCAACCAGTACCTCACTGTGCTGGCCTCCTTGGGGTATGCATGCCAGATTCTAGTAGAGCTCAAAAAAGGTCCTTGTAGTTTGTGACATTTGTCTTCCCTGTACCGTGCAATACATTCTGCTGCCTTGGGCCACCTATCTACAGGCGCGTCTGGGAGCTCTTGGTCATGCCTAGCGCTTTCCTTCAAAGACTTGCATGCACAGCTGTATAGAGCCGGTGTTTATTAGTGAGCTGACTTTGGAATTTAGTCCCGTTTTTCTAAACTCCGGTTATTCCTGACATTAGCTGCTACAGCTCATCACCTCAGGAAGCAGATAATGGAAAGTCACTTCAGGCCAGCCTCTTCCATGTTCAAGTGCTAATCTCACTGCTTGCTTGCTTTATGTTGGAATAGGGGTGGAAGAGAAACCGAATTCCCAGTCATAGGTGACATGTGCAAAGGGCTGGTAGGTAGCTGTAGTCCAAGGCTTGAGCACTCCGACTTACCCACTAAACACCCTCTAAGGTGCCCAGCTCCCTAGGTGGAGACTGAGGAGAACATGACACAGGTCAGCTGTCTCTGCTGGCAAGTGATTTACAATCCATGGGGCTAAGTCACCTGAGACTCAAACCCACATGTGTTCATTTAGGTCCGCTTTTCACAAGAATTCAAAGACAGCTTGCCTTAGAGCTTGTGGTGGTGGTGGTGTTTGGTGGTGGGAAGATCTGTCTAACCCAGGATGCCAAGGTCAAGGCCTCTTTTGTCCCTTCTCTTGCCAGGCCCCCCAGGCCAGCTACTTCAGTCAACCCCACTGAAGAGGCTGCCTCTGCAGTGGTATCTGCTGCCCCCTCCACCAGCGTCCCCAGCTCTGAGGCCCCATCCCCATCCCCTGGAGCCTCCTCACCAGCCCCTGAAGCTGAGAAGCCTCCGGGTAGGTGTGGTTAACCTTGAGGGGTGAGGATAAAGGACTCTCTGGGTTCCACTTGTGACCTATCTGTCCAGCTCCTGAGTTGGTGGGCGCTGCAGAGGAGCTTCCTGAGGATGGAGAGCCTGACGCTGCAGAACTCCGCCGGCGTCGCCTGCAAAAGCTGGAGTCCCCTGTTGCCCACTGACACTGCCCAGACCTGGCCCTGCTCTCGAGTGGCCCTCTCTGGAACACATCCTGCCACCAAGTGCCAGCTCCCTCTGTCTGTACCGGGGAGTAACCCCCAGCTGAGAAAGAAGTGGCAGGATCTCTGAGGCCAAGTAAAAGTGGCTGGGTTCATAGTTGATCCGTCCCGATGGCCCTGGCAGCCAGGTGGAGATGTTGGTCAGCTCTAACCTTCCTCTACCACTTGTGCTGTGTTCTGCTGGGGCCTTAGAAGTAGAGGCTCAACCTCTGGGAAGCTCCTCTCTGCTTTCGGGAAGAAGGTGAAGCCCCTCCAAGCTCTGCTTGTGAGTGTGGGACCATGCTGCCGTGCCGAACAGTATTACTTGTTCCCAAGTGTGTACACCCGAGGGGCTGAAGACAGACCAGAACCTGCCCTGCCCTCCTGCCTAGATGGACACCGGTCTCCTTCCTCTACCCCAATCTCAGAAGCCCCTTTGTGGTGGTGGCTGTGCCCCCTAAGCCCTGTGGCATTTCTATGTCTTACTGGCAACCACACAACTCAGGGAAAGGAGTGCCTGGGGGTGGGGGACAAGCGGGCAGCACTGAGGGACCCTGTCCTGCCCCTCCCCAGGCTCTTTCCCCCACCCCCATCTCACCCAGCAGCCACTGCCTGGTGGGCCTGGCTGAGGGTGTGTGCTGCTCCTTAACCACTGCTCCCCACAATCCAAGGCAGGCCACCTCCAACCCGTGGGACTCGAGTTCAGGATTGGAACTATTTCTGTACCTAGTGGATTTGGGCTTACTTTTGTCTTTTTGATTTGAATGCTTGACCCCAGGAAGGAAGAGCAGGTGTGAGGCTTGGTACCTGAACTTTCCTGTTTAGAACAGGCTCTGGGCCATGCAGGGACCATGGAGCCAAGGCCTAGCTGCTTCTGTCTTTCTTCCTTTAGGTTATGTTACAGGAGTTTCTGGAGACAGTTTCAGATGATTATTTAATTTGTAAATATTGTACAAATTTTAATAGCTTAAATTGTATATACAGCCAAATAAAAACTTGCATTAATGACTGGTGGGGCTTGTAACTTAGGGCGAGGCTCCTTTTCTGTGCCCAGCCTGTAGACTCATGACTAATCTGTGGTCTCCTAGAATGAGGATGCCAAGGTCACTGAGGAACTAGACATCCATCTTCCACATGGAGAACCTTAGGTCTGAAGTCAAGCAGGGCAGCCAGGATCTGAATGCTGCTTAACCAATTAAATGGTGAAGTTGGTCAAATGGCTGATATTAGATGAGAAAGCAGGATGAAAAGACATCATTTTCTTGTTTTCAAACTTCTATAAAGCTGATTCCAGGACAGCAGGGTGATGTCCCCAACCCTATTATACACACTCAGAACCTAAGATATTCTTTTGTCTGTCTTGTCCATTGCAGTCCATGTCATTGTCCTGTGTTGTCTGTGTATGTTTTCCACATTTGCTACCAAGACTAGTCTGGCTTACAGCAAAAGCTCCAGAAAATGAAGGATGCATGTCCCCAGAACAGGGTTGGGTGGCTGTCTCCAGAGTGGCTCACCTAAGAAGTGCACCACAGTTTTTGTTTTTTTTTTTTTTTAAGATTTGTTTATTTATACAGTATCCTGCCTGTAGGCCAGAAGAGGGCACCAGACCTCATCACAGATGGTTGTGAGCCACCATGTGGTTGCTGGGAATTGAACTCAGGACCTCTGGAAGAGCAGTCAGTGCTCTTAACCGCTGAGCCATCTCTCCAGCCCATGCACCACAGTTTTTAAAGAGACAGCAGTTGATGTCTCTCGCTAGCTTGACTGTGTCTTGTGGACTCCCACATTGAATAGCTCTCCCCAAGTGGACACGTAAACACCAAGGTCTTTTTCCTCTTTATGAAGCAAGGACTGATCTCAAAGCTCTTTAGGTACTTTTGAATCCCATTCCAGAGACTCCAAATCCACTTCCTCCATGAATGCCAGTCTGTGTAGGAACTGCCATGAGGCTGATCAGCATATCTCAGAAGCCTTTCTCAAGAAGCCAGGCTTTAAGCTGCTCATCAAAGTAGCCCTTGATTCGAAGAGTCCCTGTCACCTCATTAACCTGGGTGATGGGTGTTCTTCCCAGCTGTGGGCTCAGAAACTCTTCCACGTCCTTCTGTAGAGCCTGGGGAAAGAACTCCAGTCAACAGTTTCCAATTCCAGGGCTCCTTCCCTCCAGCCTGGAAGGATCAGGACAGACCCAAGTCACTTACCCAGATGTTCCCCTCCACCTTCCGGATCACGGTCATCTGTCGGTTGCCATGTGTAATGTCCTTGTAGACAGGGATGTTATGCATCCGGGATCGTCGAACAAAGTAGGGCAATTTGGGAGGGGGATCTATAAAGGAGGACGTTATAGGAAGCCAGCTTATCCTAGGCTTAAGCCAAGGCCCTTCCCCTCATAAAAACTACAAAGGGTTATGGCGGGGAGGGGGGGGGGGTCCTGCTTTGAGACAGACAAGGTCTGCTGTACCTGGCTAAGGAGGGTTGTTAAATCCTATTGGAGAAAACTACTTCTGACTTCAGGGCATCTCCTCTGTCCTTCCTTCAGTTTATAGCCAGGATGGAATATTCCCCTTAGTGCTTTAAAATCCCACCCAGGTCTGCTACCATTTAAATCTCAAAAAGAAGTGAAGCGCTGGGCATGACTGTTCATGCCTAGAATATACAGGTAGTTCAAGGTTAGTCTGGGCCACATTAGACACTGTCTCAAAAAGAAAAATCGGAATTGCCTTTAATTCCATCATTCGGGAGGCAGAAGTAGGTAAATCTCTGTAGTTCAGGCCAGCCTGGTCAACAAATGGAGTTATAGGATGGCCAAGGCTGTTACACAGGGAAACCCTATCTCGGGGTAAAAAAATCAGATACGGTAGCACATTTCTTTAATCCCAGCAGAGGGAAGGTGGTGGATCTCTGAGTTTGGGGCCCACACCTTTAATCCCAGCACTCAGGAGGCAGAGACAGATGAATCTCTGTGAGATCGAGACCCGCCTGGTCTACAGAGCGAGTTCCAGGTCAGCCAAGGCTACACAGAGAAATCCTGTCTCGAAAAAAGAAAAACAACAAAAAAAGTATTTATTCCCTGATCCTAGGGGAAACTCCCTCTAGAGGACTACTCTCTTCCATTAACCCAATGAGGTTCATAATTATGTAACAGAGAGATGGGAATTAAAGGGGTTCTTTTGGTTTGGTTTGCTAGGGTTTTTGTTGTTTTGGTTTTTTGAGACAGGGTTTCTCTAGATCGGGCTGGCCTCGAACTCACAGAGATCGGTATGTCTCTGACTCGCGAGTGCTGGGATTAAAGACTAAAGACGTGCGCCACCTCCAGCCGGCCTACACCTTGAAGTGGCAGTGGGATTTTATAAGCATAATCACACACTGGAGTTTGTAGAAAAGGTTTTATATGCTGAGCAGATTACACTCATTTTGTTGAATTTGAGGTTAGAAGAAGCCAAATGACTATTAAACCAACAATGAAGGGCAAAGCCGAATTCAAACAGACTACCTTTTGCTAAACTGCATTCTCTATTGTACATGGTCAGTTGGTCTGGAAGAAGAGAAATCCAAACACACGGGTCTTCTTTCTCTATGCTTTCTCATTACAAGGGAAGACTTCATCCCAGTAAAATAGAGTTCTTCTACTCTTGGGCCCTTCCCTGGGGATGAGACAATACTAATCCACCTACATCTGAACAGCACTCCTAAATCCACTGCGAAGTCCAAAGACTCAGCTGGGGCAAAGGACCTTCCTGGTCTACAGCCTTCAAACTCCCCCCATCACTCAGCTTACCTCTGGGAGGCTGCCAGCCACTGGGAGTGGGATAATGTTTATGCTTTGGTGGCTCTGGGATTTTGGTGGGGGGGAACAGACGCTCCACAAACTGGTATTCATCCACAGACTCCACAAAGCTGGGGTTATCAGGATGCCCCTGGGTTTGGCTCTAAAGCAAAACAAACCATCTTTCCATTAGTTCACACAACACGGAAGGTCTTTAGAAGGTAAAGAAACAGGCAAAAGGAACAGTGTATGTAAAGACCTGCGCTGGGAAAGCACCCGACATTTTTCCAGAGTGCAAGGTATCGGGAGGGACTGGAGAAACTGCTCAAACGTCTGATCCCAAGATTTCTCGAGGACTCAGATAGCAAACAGCATATTTAGAAAAGCTAATTAATCATAAGACCAATCAATATAGTATTCTTCAGCAATTTCTTCTGTTGGTGTTGGAATTCTCTAACTCCGAATAAGGTGCTTGAGCCGATCGGGCACCGAGCCGGGCAGCTGCTCTCGGTCCTAACCAACTCGAGGTATGCAGCAGCCCTATTCCAAAACCCGGGCTACCCAGGCTCTGCCACCGGCCCTCTCCTCACTGCACATACCCTTGAGACAACCCGAGTATACAGGAAAACCTAGGCCTCGTAGGGCATGCGGAGATCAGAGTTGTCATGAGCAACAGGCTCACACACAGCCTTTTGCCCTCCGCTCCGAACTCTCACCAGTTGCCGAAGCGCGTAGCTCCACCGGAGGCAGCACCCCCAGTCTCGCAGAGCGGGTCGGAAAATAGCCGCTGCCATCTTTGATTGACCCACTGCGCGTGCCATCTGCGCGCGCAACCGGCTCGGCCCCGCCCACTCCCGCGCGCTCCGCCCACAGAGCAAGACGCCTGCGTAATGCGTAAGGGGGCCGGCTAGGACGGCGGTGGGCGGTACCAATACTAGCAACAGCGCGGTCGCGCACCAGTGACGTGCCACGCAGCAGGCGGTGAGGACGTGCGCGCTCCTGCTTCTTCCTCTTTCTTGACTCCATCTTCGCGGCAGCAGCCTCGGCGTCCGCGGGTTAGGTGAGACTCGCGGGGGCAGCTGTCCCTGTTGCGCTCGGGAGCGGGCCGTCTGCGGCCTCAGAGGTGCGGGGAAGTCAGAGGACAAGGGCTGTTCCGCGGCCTTGTCTCCGATCGCGTTCAGGTCCCTGGCGAGCCCGGCCTAACGCGTGTGAGACGGCGCGCTTGCCCGAGCCGCTTCCCGTCCGCCTGCCTTCCGGGACGCTAATTCCCTTCTCTCAGAAACCTTTCTTTTTTCAGTCGCCAACATGCAGCTCTTCGTACGCGCCCAGAAACTACACACCCTCGAGGTGACCGGCCAAGAAACGGTCGCCCAGATCAAAGTAAGTATGTAAAGCCCTTTGACTCGACCTAACTGCTCCTTTATCCCCAGGTCCTCAGCTAAAACTTGTCTACTTTGAAACGTTCGGTTTTTGTCTGTAGGCTCATGTGACCTCACTGGAAGGCATTGCCCCGGAGGATCAAGTCCTGCTTCTGGCTGGCTCGCCGCTGGAGGATGAGGCCACCCTAGGCCAGTGTGGCGTGGAAGCTCTGACCACTTTGGAAGTAGCTGGCCGCATGCTGGGAGGTAACTGCTTTTTCCCTGTGAACTAATGGGATGCGTGTAACTAAAGCATGGGACAGCTCATTTCTGTGGCAGTACACTTGTGTCTTCTATGGTTTGGTTCTAAAAGGTATTTCAGTCTCTAATCATACTGGTTCTCAGTGTCCCCACTAAAGTCAGAATCCAGTTGTGTGGTAGGCGTGTACGCCTTTAATCTTAGCACTTGGGAGGCAGAGACAGGCAGGACAGCCAAGGCTATATGGAGAAACCGTGTCAGAAGGAAAGACAGTAATAATCAAGCTCGGGATTACGAGGCTCTCAGAGTGCTCTAGTCTTTGTATGTAGATGTTAGCTAAGGATACAGAGTCCTTGCTTTAGTATCAAACCCTCAGCACTAAGTAAACTGGCCACAGTGACATTGAGATGGGAACCAACCTGGGTTAGCTGTTCTGTGACCCCATCTCCAGCCTCTGCAGCTTGGTTTCATTCCTTGTTGGGGCCCCAGATTTGTCATTAGAAGCCTAAGAGTAAGTAAGCAAGTTGTTCTGGGCAGGGCATTGCTTCTTACCTGCTGCGTTTCTCCTTACACAGGTAAAGTTCATGGTTCCCTGGCCCGTGCTGGAAAAGTGAGAGGTCAAACTCCCAAGGTGCGTGCCAGAGTTGGTGTATGGACTTTGTTTTTCCTTTTGCAGCAAAATCAAGGCCTTTGATTTGTCTGTTTGCATTCTTTGATGGAGAGGAGCTGGTGGGAAGGGTGCCAGGCATGGGAGAGGTCAACCAGAGTCTTACAAGTCCTTCCCTTTCCCAGGTAGCCAAGCAGGAGAAGAAGAAGAAGAAGACAGGCCGGGCCAAGCGACGGATGCAGTACAACCGTCGCTTTGTCAACGTTGTGCCCACCTTTGGCAAGAAGAAGGGCCCCAATGCTAATTCCTAAGTCCTATTGTGATCCTGGCAGTCTAATAAAGTCCCTTTGTCCAAACATGTTACTGCTTTCTTCATTTGCAAGGCCTTAGGAAGAAATAGACCTCTTCGGCTAGGTAAGTGCATCTTGATCCTGTGTCAAACAACAAAACACATTTAGTGTTAAACTGTTGTTTTGTGGAGGGAAAGGCTTCGGGAGAAGATGAGTCGGTTTTAACTGAATTTAGGACCAGCAGTAGTATCAATAAAATCCAAAGCACAAGAAGCCTGGGATTCCTCAGCTTTGCAAATTGGTATTTCCTGATTAGATTGACATCCTGATCTTACCTATCACCTAGTCACAGCTGGGGCTTGGCAGCTGATTAGTGGTTCCACCTGAGCAATGGGCTTCCGGTTCACCCAGACCCCACTTTGGAGTAAGGTTGCCTTGCGGGATTCTCCATTCCATTTAAATTTTGTTTTTGGTGGTGGTTTCTAAGATGGTTTCTCTGTAGCTTTGGGGCCTATTCTGCAACTTGCTCTGTAGACCAGGCTGACCTTGAACTCACAGATCTGCCTGTCTGCCTCCAAGTGCTAACATGGTCTAGTTCCATGACAGCCGAGACTACACAAACTTTGTCTCAGGAAGGAAAAAAAAAAAACAAGCCGGATGGTGGTCACACACACCTTTAATCCCAGTATTTGGGAGAAAGAGGCAGGCCTCTAAATTCAAGGCCACCCTGGTCTACAGCCAAGGCTGTTAACACAGAGACACCCTGTCCCGGAAAGCAAAAAAAAAAAGGGGGGGGATTAAATTTCAGCACATCTTTGGGGACGGGTTGCCCATTGTTTTGTTGTTAAGACAGGGTCTCATGTAGTCCCAGACTGGCCTCAATTTATATGTTGATGTGGTGTGTATCTTATCTCCAGATTCGCTACCAAGTGGCTTATGATTTAGTTCTTGGGGAGTTTAATTATTAATTTGGGTTTTTTTTTTTTTCTCACTATGTAGCTCTGACTATCCCGGAACTCACTATGTAGTCCTCAAACGCAAAGAAATCAGCCTGCCTCTAGTGACCTGATGCTGGGATAAAGAGCGTGTTTCCCTATTCACTGCTAAAACCCTGGGTTGTTTTTTGGTTTTGTTTTGTTTCGATACAGGATTTTTCTGTGTAGCTGCCCTCAGTGTCCTGGAACTAGTTCTTGTAGACCAGGCTGGCCTCGAACTCACAAAGATCCGCCTGCCTCTGCCTCCGGAGTACTGGGATTAAAGACGTGCACCACCACCGCTGGGCGACCCTGAGTTTTTGTTGTTGGTTGGTTGGTTTTGTTTAAAAGGTATTTTATTTTTGCACAATTTGGTAAAATCACGGGAAACAAGCTGGACATAACGTTTAACGACATTACTCTGCGAGCCACCGTGCTGGGAAGCGCTTTACCGGCTTCTGCACATGCCCAAAGGGCTACTCGGGAGCCGGAAGTTACCGAGAAGCCTCGGGAATGTGCTGAAAGGCGACTACGTCGCCCCACGCACAAAGGCGGAAATAACCGAAGAAGCGCCGGAAGTGGCGGGGCTGCGGCGGCTGTGTGGTGTCCGGCACGCGGCGCCAGTTGCCATGGAGCCCGTAGGGCTCTGCGGCTTCTGCCCAGACGGAGAAGCGCTGCCGGCGCGCTACACCTGCCCGCGCTGCAACGCTCCCTACTGCTCGCTGCGCTGCTACCGGACGCATGGCTCCTGCGCCGAGAACTTCTACCGCGACCAGGTGCTGCGGGAGCTCCGCGGCCGGAGCGCCTCCCCCAGCCGTCTGGCGGGCGCTCTGCGCCGGCTGCGCGAACAACGCGAGACCGAGGATGAGCCCGAGGAACTAGGCCTGAGGCCCGGCCCACGGCCGAGCGGCCTTTCTGGACTCTGGGAAGGCTTGGCGCCGGCTGAGAAGGCGGCGTTCGAGCGACTGCTGAGCCGTGGCGAAGCTGGACGCCTTTTGCCTCCTTGGCGGCCCTGGTGGTGGGGCCGCGGGGTTGGCCCGCGTTTTCTGGAGGAGTTGGACTGTGCCCCGGGCAGGGATCTTTCGGAGCCGGAGCCCGCCCCTGCGAGCACCGTGCCCGAATCTGCGGATGATGCCGGCACCGCGGCGCCACTTGCTGAAGACCCTGCTGCCTCTGGGCCGCCGCCGGTGCCCGCCCATATCCCAGCACTAGCCAGCCTGAGCCGCAGCCCGGCCTCGCCGCTCGTGCGCTTCCTGCTGCCCAATGTGCTGTTCGCCTATGCTCACACTCTCGCCCTGTATCACGGAGGGGACGACGACGCTCTGCTCTCTGATTTCTGTGCCACGCTCCTCGATGTTTCTGGAGCCCTGGGCGCCCAGCAAGTCTTTAACTCTACGGAGGAAGCTCTGCAGGCTGCGGCCCACGTGCTGGAAGCGGGCGAACACCCACCTGGACCTCTGGGTACGCGGGGTGCTATTCAAGAGGTTGCTCGCATTCTGCTGGGCGAGGGTCCTGTCAACCAGAAAGGCTACACGCTGAGAGCGCTGGGGCACCTGGCGCAGACCCTGGGCCGTGCCCGAAAACAGGCTGTGGGTAGTGAGGAGCGAAATCGCCTTTACCGGGCTCGGAAGAAGTGCCAGTTCCTGCTTGCCTGGACCAACGAAAATGAAGCTGCCCTCACACCACTGGCTCTAGACTGTGCCACGGCCCACCGAGAGCATGCTGTCACAGCTGAGGAGATGGCAACCCTTACTGGGGAGCTGGAACGGCTTTGGGGAGGCCCTGTGCCACCTGCTCCAAGGACTCTAATTGAGGAGCTCCCTGGCTGAGATGGATGTCTGTGTTACTAATAAAGACGCCACCGGTCTGCCCAAATGTTGGTAGTACCTTTCTTTTTTCTTTCTTTCTTTTTTTTTTTTTTTTTTTTTGGTTTTTTTCGAGACAGGGTTTCTCTGTGGTTTTGGAGCCTGTCCTGGAACTAGCTCTTGTAGACCAGGCTGGTCTCGAACTCACAGAGATCCACCTGCCTCTGCCTCCCGAGTGCTGGGATTAAAGGCGTGCGCCACCACCGCCCGGCTCTTTCCTTTTCTTTTTTTTTTTTTTTTTTTTTTTTTGGTTTTTTCGAGACAGGGTTTCTCTGTGGCTTTTTGGAGCCTGTCCTGGAACTAGCTCTGTAGACCAGGCTGGCCTCGAACTCACAGAGATCCGCCTGCCTTTGCCTCCCGCCACCATCGCCCGGCGGCAGTACCTTTCTTTTCTTCAAAGACTGCCCTATCCTAGGCTCCCGTGGAGTTACTGTGTAGCTGAGGGTGATCTTGAACTTCTGAGCTTGCCTCCACCTTGACTGTGCTAGGATTACAGGTGTTAGTCACTCTGCAGTGTTGACGACCAGAGGCTTCGTGCATACTAAGCCACTCTCTGAAACTGAGCTACATCCCCCTGAAGTGTCCACTTCAGAGAAGCCAGTTCTTCCACCCACTCAGGCTCTGGACCCACAAACCGCTTTTCAGCTTTCCCTAGTCAGCTGGTCCTCCATCTCTGGCCCCAGGATAGAAGAAAAACACAACAAAGTTGAAAACATTTATCCAACAAGTCAAAGTATTTCTGTGTGGAAGCAGTGGCTCCTTGCTTCAAACCTCTTCTGAGACTAGTCACCCCTGTGGAGCAGAATGGGGGGCACGCCCTTCCCTTGAGGTGTGTTCAGGCCTGCTGCCTAGGTGGGTCTGCTTCAGTAGACATAGGGTAGGATTCGGTAAGGCACGCGCTTGCAGTACTCCTGCCAGGCCCGGCCGTACTTGCGGAGGCACTGCTGCTCATCTCGGGCCTCGCGGTGCACCAGCAGCGCCGTAAAGTAGAGGAGGTAGAAGTAGGGTAGCAGGTGGGATACCCCTGTAGGGAGGGGGCTGCACGATCAGACCCAGCACCCAGGTTGTACAGGCCTTCACATCTAATGGCGCACAGGGTGGCAGGGTTCATCTCCAGCCCCTGATCATCCCTCTACTAGGTATACCAGACAGCCTCTGTCACCACACCTGATCCAGTCCCAAACCCACTCACCACAGGGCAGGGACCAGGCCAGAGCCATGATGAGGTCTCCCAGGTAGTTGGGGTGACGAACCATACCCCACCATCCAGACACCAGCAGCTTCCGCCCTGTGGCAGTAGGGATGGTTTCCAGACCTGGAGAAAGACAGCTAATGAAGCAGGGAGCCACAGAGCCCTGCTGCTTCATCTTACCTGTCATCCCCAGGAGACCCAGCTCACCCGCCACACTGGGGTCAGATGGATTCTTTCGGAATGTGTTCTTCTGGGAGTTAGCACCACGGAAGATGTAGTAGCCCATAGCTGAGGGAAAGTAAGATCAGGAAGTGAGGTGGAAGTCTAAGTCTTCTGCCTAGCCCTGACCACAAGCCTGTCCAAATCCCAGGCTGTGTTATGATACCCAGGAGCTGGCTCCCACTTCAGAGGAACATCAGCGCCTGGACCTATCTAACAGTAGTGAATAAAGGATGAGAGGGAGGGGATCGAAGGCCTCCTACTGACCCTTAATGAAGCAGATGAGCAAGGCCATGGGCAACCCCAGAGGCTGTGGATGGTAGAGCAGGAACTGGGCCTGCAGGCTGTAGGTGAAGGGTACCCAGGCTAGGTCTCCAAAGGCCAGCATGAAGCCAAATCCATCATGTATTATGTCCATGGTGGTAAGGACAGACTCCTGCAGGGACAGGACCCAGACACACTGGCTTGGTCCAGTTGACATGCTCAGGATCCCATTCGCCTCCCCTGCCCAATCCACCTCACCTCATACCAGAGGGCGTCCCCCACATACAGCAACTGGAAACCATTGACCAGGCACATGGCCAGTGAAGGACTCCCCCGCAGCTCTGCCTCCTGCATCAGCAGGGCCAGGTTAATGATGACCTGAGGGAGGTGGGGACAGGGCCATTGACTCTGGGTGGGAGCATCAGAGTACAGTGTCAACCTCTCCCCTTCTCAGCTGTCGGCTCACAGGGATCCAGGCAGAAGCTCTGCCTATACTGCACTTGGGCAGAGGACACAGCCTTGCTAAAGCTCACTCTGCCACTGCCGTGTGAA